ATTAGCCATCTTCAGTAGCAACTCATCTAACCTTTCCTGTTTTTTATCATTAAATTTCTCCAATTTTTCCTTTGCCTGCTTCAATTCTTCTTTTGCCTGCTTCAATTCTTCTTTTGTCTGCTCAATATCCATTTTTTGAAACGCAAAAAATTTAATTTTAGGAAAAAAAAAAATAATGCGCTAATATATATGCGATTCGCATGTTGCACAGCATATATTCCTTCGGCGCAGTCCGTGATACATTATTTTTTTCATGTTAAAATTGCTTGCGAGAGTTCCCGTGACAATTACTAAAAGAGTTTTCCCTCAATCACAGATTTTCGGGGTGTTTATACTCGATGTTTTATTCGTACTATGTCAAGTAAATTTTGTTTGTACACATGACCAACATGCAAAAAGTAGATAAATTTTGTCAATAAGAATTAACAGTGATCAAGCAATAATTGATATGCTGAATTTATATTATTTTTTCATTTTCTCAATACATCCACATCATACTGCATAAACATTAAAAAATAAGACTTTATATGGGAAAACTAATTTTACATATATCATAGACACAAGAATTATGAGATAATTTGACTTGGACTTCTAAATTTAGTTTCTTAGAATCACATTGATTAATTCTACAATAAAGTACAAACTTTCACTTTATTCATCAATTCTTGAGGCGCCTCTACTTTATATCGATTACCGCAGGGATAAACAACTACTAACCCTTTATTCATTGATTCACTCCTCAATTCGTCAGTAAATAACGTACCGCAAGCAACTCCAACATATTGTTTTCCCATCAACCTCTTAAATTCTAAGCTATCTGTAATTTTGAGATTCGTTTCGAATTCATACAATCGATCAATGAGGCTTTTTATATGTTTCTGAATGCAAGATTTATAAGTGAGCAATAAATACAGGAATTTCATAATAGATAATAATTATTTTATACATACATCTGTCATTTTATATTTCGCTTCAAGTATGAACACCTGATCGCCACAAATGAGAATCCCGTCAAATTCCATTATCGCTATTTTGTTCTTATACATTATTCTCTCGGGGAATATTTCTACAGTTAACTTGAACATTTTGTCGAGAAAGTTCTTTACGGCTAATAGCACTTCGTCCTCCATTGCTTTATCTTCAGATTGAGACCAGGTGACATTATTTCTGATTGATGTTATATAGGAAGCCACTATTTCATAGCGTTCACCAGGTACTATATTTTCCAAAGAGGTGATAACCGTTTGTACTTCTTTGTCATCAGATATATGAGCCAATCCAGTCGCTTCGAAACTCTTCAAAAAGAGACGATAATCATTATCATTACACATCGTATAACTTGCAAATTTCCCCGGCAATGGTTTACCCTCATTATCGTATTTTTGAACAAGGAAGGTGGTCTTAACGACTAAAGTGACAGTATAATATTAGGAATATATGGCGTAGACGTTACATTTATCAAAAGATTACACGTCACGTTCGTGTTGGCCAACACAAAGACTTACCGGTTGTAAAAATTTGAAGGGGTGTCTTAGCAGTATTTGCAAAATTTTGATCTACAATCTCATCCGGTTCTAAATCGACAGTAGCTTCGTGTTTTCTAAGAATAATCCTACCATTATTCACCTTACCCAAGTTTAGTCTACGCTTGATCGCATCCTTCAACTTGTCCACAGTTCCTTTCTGAATTTCGAGACTAACTGACTGTTCATTATTATATTTAACCCAGAGCGTAAAAGACATTATATAAACTTATAAGACTTTAAAGTAAAGAGAAAGGAAAAGATTTTGATTTTATAAGTCGAGAACAAGAAACTATATTGTTATAGTCGTGATTCATATTACTAAACTTCGTAGGAGTTCAAACTTTCGTATAGTATGCTGAAGTATGATGAATAAGATTATGTGTTACAGTAATCCTCTCAAGTCTTTAATAAGGAAGGAATCAGAACATGTGCTCAAGAACCGATCTTGAATCTTGAGATATCGTTGTGAATTTTTATTAACTTTATTAAGCAATATAGCTAGTCTATCACTTACTCATATGACTTGTGCAAATTTGAATTTCTCTATTCTCAGAATGTCCAAGTGGGATTTCTGGCTCCCAAAAGCAGATAATATATGTGGGTATGAAAAAAATGTAATTATAGAATTTGCGATACTTACCAGTTAGATCTTTTTTATTTTCTATATCAGAACAAGTAACAAATTTCAGAAATATTTTTAACAAAATCTAATCTATGATTTATGTTAAAATTACGTGTTTTTTTAACAACTCGATTAAAATCTTTAGAAAAACTTTGACCAATATTATTATATTAGAAATTATAATAATTCTTATAAAATCTTACATATGTAAGTGAAGATATACCAATAGACCATTTGGATAAATGTTAATTACAAGTTATTCTGTTTAAAAATCATCTTTTAATTTATTAGATATTATTATTAAATATATTAAAGTGTTCTTTCTCTTTCTTTCTCACTCTCTCTCTCTAGAGAGAAAGAAAGAGAGAGAGAAAAATTAGTTTTTGTTTATATCTAATAGAAAAAATTGTAGACAGTTAAATACATATATAGATTAATAGAATATTAAGGATTTCTAATTATAATATCAATTTTCAAAATACTTGTATTTTTAATATTCTTTCATTTTTTTGCAGAATAACAATATGATTTAAAGCACTATTTTCTGTTTTGATTATGATATTATATATATACATATTAGTAAATACTTAAATACTTTTTAATTGAGGATTTATAAATCAATATTTTATTAAATAATGGATCAGAAAATTAAGTTTGCCAACTTATCATTAATTAAAAGTTAACACATTTTTGTAAGAATTTAATTAAAAAAAAAAATTCATATATTTATATAAAAATAGTCTTGAGCTAAATAATCGTGAAATTATAAGATCCTACAAAAAATATATATTAAAAAGCAAGCATATCCAATATCTATCATTAATATATATTTAAAAAAAGTATAAAAAGACATGTAATAATAAGCTACTTTCTTCCTGCCGATTAATTTGTTTACATGTTAAATATTTAAATAATATTAATTATGCTTATAGTTAATTGTCTTTAGTATGAAGTTATCATTTTAAAATTTTATAAAACATGAGTTACATAACTTATTATTACCTGGTCATCTATTTTAAATTGATATTATATAATAAAAATCAGTATCCTAAACATATTAATAACCTTCTAATGAGCTTAAATTTAGAATTGTTTGTCAATAACTTCATGTTTATAAATTCTAACAATCTCTGAATACCATGAAAAATAAAGAAATTTCTAAAGTTGTGTTTAATTTAGAACATCAAATTTTTTGCTCTTTTGATCCGTTTTTTTTGATCCGAAATTCTAATGATTTTGATTGGCACCAAAAATTTTGACAATGGATCAGAACAATCTTCTACAGTCTGAAAATCAAGATTTGTGATATCATCCTTTAATCGTCATTAATATTCATGTGGTAATAGAACAATCCATTCTTGGTTCTCGAAGCATGCATCATCCGAAAAATGATATGCCATCTTTCAAATGAGAGCTTGAATTCGAACTCTTTATCATCGTTTGGATTACATAACCTTGACCATTGCCATATGACCTCATGGGGACAGTTGATTTAAGTACAGAATCACATATCATTTTTACGTGATAGTACACTTTTTAATGACTTATATAAAATAAATCGGTTGATTTTATTAATTTATTTATTAGATGAGCCAAAAAAAAAAGAAAAGATCGTGACACGAGAAAAAACCAAAAGAACTCTGCGTGATCATCAGAGAATACATTTGCGTATGCCGATCTTTTCATCATGCCGATATCGAAATAAGATCATTACTTAGGGATAGGCCCACTGACAGTAATCGCATCTTCACTATTTGAAAGTGACCAGCTTCATAATCACCTAACTTTCTTTGGAGAGAGATCCACTTTTTATTTAATACCGATGAACTTTTAGTTTTATTTAAACCAAAGTACACCCATAAATTTGCTGCGGAAGATTTCGAAGGAAATTTGATTGTGAAAGACCTTTGATTTATTCGTTGTCTTTCTTCTTTTATGAATATTTCTTCAAAAATCTGTAAGGTGCAAAGATGATCGAAGAGTGGATTTATAAGGTAATTCTGCGTTAAACGATGATGTATTATTTATTGTTTAAATTTGAGTAACCTGGATCTACTAAACAATTAATATGGCAAGCTGATCCCGATCTTAGCCATAAATATTTCGTTCTAACCTATTTAGAATTTAAATGAATAAATTACCCTTTTTTTCTGGAACTTTCGAAGCACAACAATGCAATATATAATTTATTCATATAAGAGGAAAAGAGCTATATATTATATAGTTTCAGAACCTTCCATATGATCTTCAGGATGAATCATATGAATCATCCATTATATAACTAACGTATTGATATCATCTAATATAGGAAACCCGAATCAATTTAATAAATTAAGCAAAAAAAGGGGCAAAGATAATGGACACAATTCGCCGCCTGATATTTTTTTGAATGATAAAAGTTTAAATTTAGAAATTTACAAATTAAGCGAACAAAATGTTTCATGTTTACAATAGATTATTTATTAATTTATTATAAAAATAATAATAATAATACATACAAACTTTAAAAAAAGTGTTTTTGTAAAAACCGAATATCCGAATTAATATTTTCATGATTTTTTTTTACTATTGATGGCTAATCAGCAAGTGGAAAAAAATATTAGTGTAAAATTAATAATAATAAGAAGTAACAATAACAATAATAAATAACTTTACAACGGAAAGTATGTTTATAAATAATTGCAAAAACCGAATAACCGAACTATTGCGCAATGACGGCTTTCGAAGAATTGTTTCATGTTTCATTTTTTTTTTTTTTTTTTTTTTTAGCTGACTTTAATCAATTTATAAAATCTTTATATAATGATAGACCTTTTTATTATTATTATTATTTATATGTAATGCAATGCTATGATATATTGTTGATCAAAATTTAGAATTAAAAATACTTGTGTAATTAAAGAAAAAAATAAGCCTTCAAACGAGAAAATGTAACAAAAAACCTAGCTCCCCACCATACGTCAGCTTTATTATTTTCTTCATACCGAAAATGAGTATTAAGTACTTATACAGTGAGACCTCTTTAAATGCACCCCCCTTGGGACCATAGTGAAAATTTAAAAAAATGTGCATTTAAGGAGGGTGTGCATTTGAAGAGAGAAATTTTGTATGATCTTTATATACTTGGGGCTGTGTGGAATGTGCATTTATAGAAAAAATATATATGCGTGCATTTAGGGAGGGTGCATTTAGAGAGGTCTCACTGTATATAGGCCATTGGCAGTGAATCGCCACCCTATTGACTAGCATCAATAATCTCTGAGGCGTCTCTGTCCACCAGTTTATTTGTTGAGATTAGTTGGTTTACCAGCTAGTTCCTTGTATATTTTCATAAGTATGCTTGATTATTCTTTTGTCTTTTTCTTGGTTTTAAGTGTAGAAGTAGGTGTAGAGGACTTGATTTTTACGAGGGTATCATAATTTTTCAAATCTTAATTTTTTTATTAATACATATTTTTTTTTTTTTGTTTTCAAAGATTATTTTAGATGAAAGAGTAACCATTGAAAAAAGAATTCACAAAAGGATTATTTGAGTTTTGTCGCGGTAAGTTTGTAATTAGATTCAGCGTCTCTTGATTATTGTGAATTCGAACGCGCATTAGATACGTTATGTGTTTTCTACGTTGCCTTCTTTGATTAACGACCTTTAATCCATCATTATTCATTACATTAGCAGAATGGGTGAAGTTATTTGAATACATTATCGTATTTATTTATTATGGAAAGAGTTATTTTTACAAATGCTTTGGTCGCAGGTTGTATTTATACGAAAATCTCGCCAAGAGTTCACATTTTTTTTCACTTTAAAGTATGATTTCATATATTATATATTTAGAACTCGGGAAAATATAGAAATAGAATCAACAGACAAATTTTTTTTTCTGTCGTCATTTCTATACTGTAAATTTGTATAATAGAGACTTTGTTATGACATTTCTGTTATATAAAAAATTTTAAAATAAAACATTAATATAAATAATATGCACCAAATTTAAGGTTATGAATTAGAAACCATAAAAAACGCTACTATAAAACACATTTTATGGTAATCTAATTCACTTACCCTATAATTGTTATGCATATAACTTTTAATTTAGATTTTAGCTTAACACGTGAGATCAATCTTTTGTGGAACCTAGCATAAAGAAAAACTCTCCTCTTTAAAAGGAGATCAGCAAGGGAATACATAAGTTTAGTTGGCATCATTGAGAAATTTATTAATGTAAAAAAAATTAATGAAACAGTCTACTATGGAGCAATATTTTGATCATGAAATGGAAGAGGATTGATACATGGTTATAAAAGTTTCCAACTCACTATTTCCAGCAGGATTAAATATGCTTTCTTTTTTTTTCTTATAAATTAACATTTAAAAAAAAATATTTTCTTGTGGGTTTGGTTCAAATAATTTTAACTACTCTAAATTGAAAAATAAATTATAGAAAATAGTATTTTGCATGCATAAGGTACCTTGTCGTTTCAAGGAATCTGTACTTATAAAAAAACACACTCATTTATTTTTTATTTCCCTTTGGTGGGGTAAAAATTGCTTTTGATTCGGATAAAAGGTAGATAAAAGGTGCAATACAAAGAAT